TTCAAGAGAAGATGTTTAAAACATAGTTTCTTCGTTTGTGCAGTGGGATGTACTCAACTCAAACTTGACCCTGACAAGCTTTGTAAACGTGTTTTTAATATAATGATCCTCTCAGATTCTTGTGGAACCAATTCTAAGAGTAAAAAACGCTCACACAAAACCAGTGCTTAGGAGACATTTAATTTTGATTCGGATCCAGGTTATTTTTCAAGATTTACTGATTTTTTTTTTTAACAAAGCAAAATTTCATATTTTTTGTCTTATTTTATTCGCTTATTTTTATGCTAGAACTTGATCAACCATTCAGAAATGAGGAAAATTTTATAATCTCTATTTTTGCCCCTTGGATCCGCATATTTTTGCGGATCCGAACCCAGGAAGCCAAAATCTTACAGATCCAACGGATCCGGATCCAAAGCACTGCAGAAAACGAGGACCCTTGTGTTTAGTGAACGCACACTTTTAATTTATATTGATGTGAGAAGAAATAAGATTAAAAAGCATTTATTATGAATAAAATTATCAAAATTATCAATAATAAACATTTTATAAAGACAACCCAAGATGATTGTCTGAATACTTAGTTTTTCTCATTAATCAAATGAGAATCTGTTTCTAGTAAAATTGTTAAAAGTTTTGTTATATTCGCCACTGTTCCACTCAGGGTCCACACATTCCTAAAATAGATATTTCAATAATTTAAAAAAAAAATAATTGTTAACCGTTTTTACTCAGAAATGAACGCCTGTGTCTAGGTGGTAAAAGATATAAGATTATTTATATTTTTAAAGTTTTACAGTTTTTCAGTTTTGCTGTTTAACCGTCTACAGATAATGTCGTCAAGATTTTTAAGTAATTGGAAATTGGTCCTTTTTTTAAGAGTGTCCTGAAAATGTTCTCACATCAAAAAATATGGAAGACGACTATTATTCTTTGGTTTAATAGTTACTATTTCTAACCAACCATGGACAAACTTCACAGGATGGAGCATTGACCCAGACCCCCGCCCCTGAAGTCATGACGGGATTTACCATCTGTTTGTAGATAAACAATCAATCAATCGAGATATATATTTTGGGGTTATAATAAGGTATGTGCACATTATTGTCTGCATTAACAACTCTATACAGTGGGTCTAGGGGTTCCAGGGAGGGAGCGTGGATAGAATATTTTCTTTCTGTAAGCCCAATGTGCATTTTTACATAAACTTTGCGGCTTTCTTCAAACCGATATGTTAAAACGCCCGTTATTACTCCATCCTGTTAAATTGTTTGTCCATATTTCTACAGTAGACTTATCAAAGGGACTTTCAACTACAAGAGTGGTCAGGTCCGACTCACAACAGTACCCTTGAAACCGTTGTCTTATCAAGTTATGTAAAAATGCACATTATTACTCCATCCTGTTAAATTGTTTGTACATATTTCTACAGTAGACTTATCAAAGGGACTTTCAACTACAAGAGTGGCCAGGTCCGATTGACAATAGTACCCTTGAAACCTTTGTCTTATCAAGTTATGTAAAAATGCACATTATTACTCCATCCTGTTAAATTGTTTGTCAATATTTCTACACTAGACTTATCAAAGGGACTTTCAACTACAAGAGTGGCCAGGTCCGATTCACAATAGTACCCTTGAAACCTTTGTCTTATCAAGTTATGTAAAAATGCACATTATTACTCCATCCTGTTAAATTGTTTGTCAATATTTCTACAGTAGACTTATCAAAGGGACTTTCAACTACAAGAGTGGCCAGGTCCGATTCACAACAGTACCCTTGAAACCTTTGTCTTATCAAGTTATGTAAAAATGCACATTATTACTCCATCCTGTTAAATTGTTTGTCAATATTTCTACAGTAGACTTATCAAAGGGACTTTCAACTACATGAGTGGCCAGGTCCGATTCACAACAGTACCCTTGAAACCGTTGTCTTATCAAGTATGAATAAGTTTAAGGTTTTAAATTCTTGAAACTGTTTATTTTCATTTGCGGTTTCTCTGTGAATATGTCTTGAGCATTTCTTGCGTTTCAGAAGTAATAAAGAAATTATTAGAGTCAGAAAAACGACGGTATCTTCCAGATTTGTGAGCAGATTAAGGTTTAAGAGTATCGTAGTGAATCGGGCATTGCCATCTTTGCATGTAACGCTTTCAATCGCATTAAAGATGAGGAATTACCTGAAAGAGTCTCCAACCTTCTGTTTTATCATCAATCTTTTACTGTAGTAATCATTCTCAACAGATATATTGCCAATCTAAACAGTTAAAATTCTCAACAGATATATTGCCAATCTAAACAGTATTCATTCTTAACAGATAAATTGGCAATCTAAACAGTTATAATTCTCAACAGGTATATTGCCAATCTAAACAGTATTCATTCTTACCAGATATATTGCCAATCTAAACAGTATTCATTCTTAACAGATATATTGCCAATCTAAACAGTTTTCATTCTTAACAGATATATTGCCAATTTGAACAGTATTCATTCTCAACAGATATATTGCCAATCTGAACAGTATTCTTTCTTAACAGATATATTGCCAATCTAAACAGTATTCATTCTTAACAGATAATATTGCCAAGCTAAACAGTAATCATTCTTAACAGATATATTGGCAATCTAAACAGTAATCATTCTTGACAGATATATTGGCAATCTAAACAGTAATCATTCTTAACAGATATATTGCCAATCTAAACAGTAATCATTCTTAACAGATATATTGCCAATCTAAACAGTAATCATTTCCCGCATTTATATTGCCAATCTACACAGTAATCATTCTCAACAGATATATTGCTAAAGTATTCATTTGCAACAGATATATTGCCAATCTAAAAAGTAAACATTCTCAACAGATGTATTGGCAATCTAACCAGTAATAATTTTCTACAGATATATTGCCAATCTAAAAAGTAATTATTATCAACAGATTAATTGGCAATCTTAACAGTAATAATTCTCAACAGATAAATTGGCAATCTAAACTGTTATCATTCTTGACAAATATATGGACAATATGAACAGTTATCACTCACAACAGATGTATTGCCAATTTAAACAGTTGACATTCGCAACAGATATATTGCCAATCTAAACAGTAATAATTTTTAAATGATATATTGCCAATCTAAATAGTCATCATTCTTAACAGATATATTGCCAATCTAAACAATATTCATTCTTAACAGATAAATTGCCAATCTAAATAGTAATCATTCTCAACAGATATATTGCCAATTTAAATAGTAATCATTCTTAACAGATGTTGTCAATCTAAATAGTAATCATTCTCAACAGATATATTGCCAATCTAAATAGTCATCATTCTTAACAGATATATTGCCAATCCAAACAATATTCATTCTTAACAGATATATTGCCAATCTAAATAGTAATCATTCTCAACAGATATATTGCCAATCTAAATCGTAATCATTCTTAACAGATATGTTGCCAATCTAAATAGTAATCATTCTCAACAGATATATTGCCAATCTAATTATTATCCATTCTTAAAAGATATGTTGCCATTCTAAAAAGTTATAATTCTCAACAGATGTATTGCCAACCTATGCATTAATCATTCTTAACAGATATATTGGCAATCTAAACAATAATCATTTCCTACAGATATATTGCCAATCTAAAAAGTTATCATTCTCAACAGATAGATTGGCGATCTTATCAGTTATCATTATTAACAGATATATTGCCAATATTAACAGTTATTCACTCTCAATAGCTATATTGCTTAATTTAGTAGTAAAGTATTCAGAGATACAGGGTGTGAGAGAGATAATGGCAAACTAGAGAAACTTTAACCAGGGGAGTATATGGGGGAGGGGAGTATACACCCCTGCACACAAATCGACCTACATTTCATAATAACAAGCCTGGTGAGGAGTAATCTAGTATCCGAACCCGTCGGAAGGACGTTAATTATTTGGATCGAATCTTGCTCTGTGTGTAGCATCAAAATATCACTTTAATGTACAAGTATCTATCCGAAATGAATCTTGTTCTGTGTGTAGCATCAAGATATTACTTTAATGTACAAGTACCTATCCGAGATGAATCTTACAAGAATCAAGAACTTTTCTGTCGAAAAGATCCACTCCTTGCCTAACCTTTCTTATTCCTTTCGTAATTATAATAGCGGAATTTACTTCATCAGAGAAACTTGACACCTCTGCAATTCTGCATGAATCACAAACTGTAACTATCTATTATATTTAAAGGGAGTGACTGACTATGTAAGGTAGTTGAACTGAGTTTGCAGTGTTGTGGAAAACTTCTTTCGGATTCACTTGAGACATATACAACTTTTTAAAGATCTGTAAATCCTGAGTTTGAGCGCAAATTCGACGTTCGAAACTCCTACTTTGGGGGTGGATACGTTATCAGAATCAGTTTTTTTAAATTATTAAATAACGACACCGAAAAATAAAGTAAAAATTATACAGTAATCTAATTAGATGGTTAGGAACATATTTCTCAAAAGAAATTTGTCAATAAATCAATGCTAAAATCGATTATTTCGTTTTCATTATTATATTGAATTTCTTATCTTCTTTGAATTTATTCGCAGATTTCTTCAAATTCTTCAAATGTCGTCTTTTCAATAGTAATTCTAGAAAATCTGCGAAAATCTTTGTGAATAATGAGAAACCAGAACAATGAGAAAATATAAACTAATAATTGAACAAAATTACTTATTTTCGATGATAAGAATAATTTCTATTTTCTCAACATGTTCCTTTACATGCCGTCTGAAGTTTATTGTAGAACTTTTCTACATTTTATGTCGTCGTTATTTAATAATCAAAAAAGACTAATTCTGAAAACGTATCCACGTCGAATTTGTGCTCAAACTCAGAACTTACAGATCTTTAAAAAGTTTAATATGTCTCAAATGAATCCCTAAGAAGTTTTCCACAACACTGCATAGTCAGTTCAACTACAATACATAGCCGGTCACTCCTTTTCATTTGATATTTCTGGCGCCAAAATATCAAATTAAAGATATAAAAGAAAAAGAAAAGTGCCAAAAAGAGAGCTGCAGCTCAGGGAAATAAGTGTAATATTAGATAGAAACATGAGCAGAGAAATGTGTCAAAATGCATAATTTGTTTGTTTACAAAGGATTAGAATACTGACCTCAATATACTGGTGTGAGACCGGAAGTAGAAGCTGGAAACTAAATCTTCTTCCTTCTCTTCTTTGCAACCCTTCTCCACTATTCTCCAGTATCCGGAGCTGACCAAACCCAACCAACAGATCCATTAGCAGCTCCTTCAACCAGCAGTGAAGAAAATGTCATATTAGAAATTCACCCCCCCCCCCTCTCTCTTCGTCAAAAAGAAGTTATTTCAACTTGTCTCTAAAAAAGATTAAATAGAATGAGTAGAAATTTCTCCTTCTCCCAGAAATATCATTTTATAAATAATTTATTTTAACTTTCAAATTTTTCTAAACCGCTTTGAAAATTATCAGCAAAAACAAATGCCAGAAATAAAAATAAATAAAAATTTCAAAATACATAAAAAAATCGATAATGAAGAGGAAAATATTACAGAAAAGAGCTCGAATAATTAAATCAAGCTCATCTTCTGCATAATTTCTTAAATGGATTGTAACCTTAATGTTAAGTGACCCTCCATGCAAAGATTTCGATGCCAAATTTACGATAGTGCCCTTGAGTTCTTTGTCTGGTTAAATATGTGGAAGATATTGTCGTTTTTCTTGATATTTGAGTGTTTAATGTTAATATTCCCAGTATGTTTCCTGCAGTAGAAATTCACAAGTTCCCTTAGGGCAGGAAAACCAAAAAGGAAAGAAAAAATTTAAACATTAATATTTTGTTCATACTTAATTAGACAAGACTATTCAGGGTACCGTTGTGAATGGAATATCATTTGTAATTACGATCCTTCAAGATGAACTATCTACAGTCTACACCCCTGCCTTCATATTTTCAAGTTCTAAGTTCATATTCTCCTCTGACTGGCTCACAGAGAAGAACTGTACAGCTGTACACTGCTGTTGCTCGAGCAAACTTCTACAACATTTTTACTTGATTAAATCATTTCTTAAAATATATAAATTTTCTCGAAAAATAATTTCTTCCCCCCCATCTTTAAAAAATATTTTTTTTCCAGAGGCTTATCATACTCGCGCGGAGCGCAACCTTTTTATAAGGTGTTTTATTCACTGAAATGGGAAGATAAATCAATTTTTAGGTAAAAATATGAAAAAAAAAACTTTCTTTTTTAACCCAATTTTTCATAGTTTTGAAAAATATACACCAGTGAATATATAATTATCAAGTTTAACCTATTCGAAAATATAAGTAAGATACACATTTTTAAATTAGCAAAACCATTTAGGACAATCAACAGATTTCCCTGAAAGCAATTAAGTCAAATGTCAGATGTCCATAGCTGAAAACTTTAGAATGGTGGATATCAGGATTAATGCTTAATCCACTCTTTTTCTTAATCTCCAGATTAAATATTGCTTAAAACCCTCATGAACTTAATCTTCAGATTAATTAACAGATCGGGATTAAGGATATCACATTCTAAAGTTTTCAGCTCAAAGTCCATAATCAGAAAACCGAGCTGGGAACTCTTGCATTGTGGATATCGAAATTAATGCTTAATCTCGATCTTTTGTTGATTTGCAGATTTACTAAATCTTTATTCGATATCCAACATTATAATTGTATCCAGTCAGGGGTTAAACAGAGATTTGATCAGGGGAGGAATAACTAAAATGAAGATATGGAAAGGCTTAGTTTTTTTTACAGATCCTCAAATTAAAAGTGCTCACAGTGATATCGAGATTGAGCAATTGGGATTATGGGTATCCAACACACAAGTTCCCAGAGCTGAAAACTCTTGTATTGGATATTCTTTATCCTGATTTCTAAATCTCTGTGTTCACTATCGACACTTTTGACTTAAAGCCTAATCCTCTCTTTTCTCGGTTTCTGATTACCTGTTACAGCTAATCAACACTCTAGAATTGAATTTTATACACTTTCCAGGATGAAAACTGAAGATTGAATTAATCTTGAGATTAACAAAAAGAGGAGATTTAGAATTGATCTCGATATCCACAGTTCTAGTGTTCAGCGCAGCTCGGATTATCTTAAAAACCCTTTCAAAATAAAAATCTAAATTGACTCAAGTATGTTCCTGGTATTTAATTTGTGAACAGGATTGTATTTTCTGCCAATAGAAAACAAGTTCAAGGGTAACACTGCCGGGGTCAGGAGCAAGTTTCGAGCAAAGTATGCAGCGAAGGGTTCAACCGACGCTCCTCCAACTACCAACAGTTAATCATTAAAATAATTATAAAAATCAATAATTTTCTGATCGTTATTCATTATTTTGCCTATTTTTTCATAGATTTTTTCAGTTCTTGCTAATCGGCATCAAATCAAATCAATTCAATCGGCATCGGATAAAATCTTCAATTCGATTCGATTCGATTCGATTCCATTCCATATCTTTTTTGGCATATGGGGGAGGGGGTTATGCCATCAAAATCCCTTCTAGATCAAAGCATTTCAGACTAACGTCGGACACACGACCAAATTCAAGCCATTGCCACCAGTCAGCTAATTCCCAAACAAATGTATTATTCGTTTAATTAAATTTATTAAATAGTTTTAAACTTCATATTAAAAGTTTTTAATGAAGGATTCCTAGATACATGGCATTGCAGGACTCTTTATCTCCAAAATCTTGCATAGGTGTTAGGTTGAACAGATCAGATCCTAAAGATAATAATAGGTAACGAGAAAAACAACGACTCCGTTTATTTCAACGAACTCTGGAAAAGTTTGACAAAGACAAAACCAGCACTTGGCTTATTTTTGCAATTTTTTTAAAAATAATTTCATTTCACAAAAAATTGTTATTTTGTATTAACATCTACTTTGAGGGAAATAGAATTAAGTTTAAATTAATCCGTAAATCAAAAAATATCCACAATACAATAGTTTCCAGCTCTGGGCGGATTTGAAAGAGGTATTCATCAAAATAAATAAATGAATGAATGTATTAGAAAACCAAATGTGCCCATCATTAATCCTACAACCACGATGCGCAGACTGATCTCAAGGATAAATATTGATGTCAAAATTTTCAATTTTTCCCCGTAGTAGGGCAGGTGGGGGTTATTTCTCGAAAAAAATAGTAGAGCAATCTGACAGGAAACCCCTAGAAGACCTGCTGACCTGACAAATCACTACCACATCCCTCTACTAAAACCGATTTTGAGAAGTCAGGGTTAGAAAACATTTCAAATCCTAGATCCAGGAGTTTATCTTGAAACTGCCGGGATAACTTCAGCTCTAAACAAATATACATTTCAAATCCTAGATCCAGGAGTTTATCTTGAAACTGCCGGGATAACTTCAGCTCTAAACAAATGTACATTTTAAATCCTAGATACAGGAGTTTATCTTGAAACTGCCGGGATAACTTCAGCTCTAAACAAATATAAATTTCAAATCCTAGATCAAGGAGTTTATCTTGAAACTACCGGGATAACTTCAGCTCTAAACAAATATTACATTTTTTTGTTTAAACAAAGCTGTGCATCGATAACTTACAGAGACCCGGTAGAATTGTTATTTACATGGTATCTAAGACTCGAAGGTCTTCCTCGGAGAAAAATATTTTCAGAAAAAATAAAGAACCGTAGGTTTCAAGCTTTTAACATTAAAAATACCAAGTTTTTCTTGCAAAATAAAAAATATACTTGTTCCTCCCTTACCTAATTTACTGAGTTTATCCAGTAGATAAACAGCTGTATGACTAACATTAGAAAACTCGGCTAAATTCTGCTCCTCAATAATCTGCTCATGAGTTAATGGGGTCCTAGAATTCAAGAAAATAAACTTGAAAAAGTTGTATGATTGACACTTAATATGTTATTTAGGTTCATTATTGTAAACAATTGTTACGACTTTTAAACTTTTGAATGAAATTGAGTTAAATTCTCCGCGGGGAAAAGAAACAAAACCGTATATTTTTGTGAACTCCAATTGACTAAAAAAGATATCAGTAGATCAGGGGGCTGCCCAACTCACCAACCCCCCCCCCTTTATGGATGAGTAAAAACTCCAGTATTTTAACCCACACAACAACCAGAAAGTTGAGCCCTCGCGGCCAGGGCTGGACAAAGTTCCGTAAACAAAGCGGAGGTTTTCGAAAATAAAAGGAAGAGTCCGTTAACGAACGACATAAAACGTTAATTTTTAAATCGTTAACGAAACGGATTAGCCGTTTTGAAAAAAATTAACGGTTGAATACTGTATTAGACCTTCTACAGCCGCGCTGTTAATGATTTCATTCACCATTAACGAACTTTTTTTGGCGCTTTGCGCTGTTTACGCCGTTAATTCTGTAATTATACTTAAAATTTTCCGTTAAGGCCGTTTACAAACTTGATATCGTTAACTTAACGGAGTTTCGTTCTTTTCCTCTAAAACTAACAGCTACCTGAGATTTACTTTTTTAAACGGTTGGAACCAAACGTTAACGAAGCGACTTGAAAAAGTTGGAAAATNCAGCCACTCCATTTAAAGCGCCAATTTTCCAGAATCTGACTTTTTTAAATAGAAAAATCGTCGTTACGTACTTTTTAACTTCCATTCTTAGGTTTAGTTCTTGCCTAGTTGTGTTTTTCAGATCAAGGATGACTGGGTCGGATTCGAAGAGTATCCTGTCTGTGAGAAGGGGGGTAACCCCTGGCCGCCATGAGCCTCCCAGATTTACTATGCAGATTCGAGCCTCCGCTAACAGTACAAAGAAATTGAGTTTTCCCCACAAACTATGATATTTTAATAACTCTATCTTTGCCACCTAATGTCATAGACCTTAGATATTTCAAACTATCAACTCTGTTAGATCAAGTAATCTAAGTTTAAAATATCAAAGGTTTACACCGCCAAGTTGCAAAGATTAAGGGAATGGAATTTTTAAGTTTGTGGCAAAGACTCATCTCCCTTATACTGAAACTTAAAAATTTTTTTTTACGCGAAAAGAAAAAAAAATCGAAAATGAATTTGATTTGAGTTGTTGAAATCTTTGATTTAAGAATTCTTTTTTTAAAATATACATAATTCTTTAAAGCAATAATGTTGCATTACAAGATTTATCTAAACATAAATATTTGTTAATTAAAGGTTTCGCTTCAATCAAAGGTTTTAAGAAATCTAATCGAATTCACCTTATAATTTGTTTTCTTATTCTCTTCTTTTTCGCGTAAAAAAAGCTCGGTGCTGCATAGTAAATCTTTAAGGTTCATGGCGGCGGGGGGTTCCCTCCAACCTGCTAGTGGTGTATGAGGACTGGTGTTGGGTAGGTTTAGATAATCCGGAATAGATTTATCCTCGTAAACCAACATTTTGTCCCGGTATTCCTTTATCACAACCTGGAGTCAACCCAGAGCTTTAGAGCTAAAATCATAGGTCTGGGGATGAATTGTTTTCCCCGTATACACTCTCCAATACCCATCCCCACCAAAAAAAAATTTAGACTTGAGGTAAAAAAAAGTAGGGATTAATAATGATTTTTTTGTGAGAGTTTCTCTATTGGACCAAGTTTTAATTTTGGAACTAAGGTCCCCTATAATAAAAACTTGAAGTCAATAAAATCCTTCTTTCTAAAAATATAAGTAGGTAAAATAATTTTTGTAGATTTTTCATTTATCCGACAGGAAAAAAACCCCAAAGTTTATTGTTACATTTATTTACTTAATATAATTAAATTTAAATAAAAAAAAATTTAATATAAATATAAATAAATATAAATATAAATATAAAATATTTCTTTAAAAGATGTTCAACGAGTGG